CGCACTCACCTGCTCGGGCAAGCATTGATTTTATACGTAATGTTGAAGCCGCTCATGTTGTACGCGACGTCGGAGTAAAAGTGCAGCAGCGCGCTGCCGGATCGCGCTATTACTTCCGGCACGCGGCGTATGTGATAGCCGTCCTTGTGCATCAGCCCGGAGAATACGGCCAGCAACGGCGCCTCGATGCTGTCACCGTCGTAGATGTACAGATGGTCCCAGCCGCATTCCGTCGCAAACTGCTCCACGTGCATGCGTATCTTGGTGTCCGGCTCGCTCTGGATCAGCCAGGAGCACTTCACGTCCGCAGTGTAGTTGCCGAAACCGTCATGGATGCTGCCGCTACTCCCCAGCAATCTGCCGGAAAAACAAAACTCAGTTTAGGAGTCGAGGCGTATGTGAATCACGCAATGCATGTGTGTGTGTACAGTAGTAGCAGCACCAACTTAACCCGGCTAACTCGGAGACGAGCACGGATCGACGTCAACGGTCACGACGACGCTCTCGCTTGAACTTTACGGCGTTCTCGGGACGTTGTGTCGCGTACGCAACGTCCTTGGAGTGTCGTACTGACGGAGTCGTGAGACGCGTGCGAAGACGATCGTAAAAATGAATTGACGGAGACGCGTGGGTGCCATTTACGCGAAACTTAGCGATACATGCACAAACGCAGGGAGAGAGAGAGAGGAGTCGTGAATTTCCGCGTTGAAATTAATCGCGGTAGTAAACTAGTTATAACTAATATAACTCGACTATAGTCGAGAGAATTTGGTCGTGTCTTTCTTTTACAAATCTAAGCTGCGACGAGCTGAGAACGCCTGTTGCATCTGCCACGATCGCGCTGCTCTCCATCGACTCCGCGATTCCGCGGTCGTCGGGAACTTGCGTGCGACTAGAATTGCCATTAATTCGATTAATGACACTTCCAGGCGCGAACAACTAAGCTTAATTATAGCTCGAGTCGGAACGATCGCTTGCGCCTGCACATACACACGTATTTGCATCGACACGCGCACACCTCGGGCGGATGCATCGGATGCGTGACACGGAAGAGCGAGATCAGCGGGTCTCATCACCGACGAGAGAGATAAAGAGAGATGGAGATAGACAGAGAGGGAGAGAAAGAGAAAGAGAGAGAGAGAATATGGCTAACATCATTAATTGCTTCCTATTTTTTTCAATGACCGCTCTCGCAAGCCGATAATAACGGCGCACCGAGGTGCGAGACAGGCCGGAAGCCGACGGAGTGGAAAACGCTCGGCGTCCTTGGTGAATCCCGACACGAGAGAAAGTGCGGTGCTGCATCTTAACATAGCCAGCCACCTGCATTTCCGTGACGATTGCGAAGACGCATCGGAAAAAGACGCAAACCTGACTAGCAATTTATCTTATATTCCCGATCAGGTTGATGCTAATCAGTCACAATAACGTAGCATAACGCTGACGTTATTGGGTTCTGATAAGTCATATTACGCAACGTGGTATATATATATATATATATATATATATATATATATATATATATACCACGTTGCGTAATATGACTTATCAGAACCCAATAACGTCAGCG